GCAACCATCCGGACCGTGTTGTCCGGACCGTGGAAGTCATCCAAGCCGACATGTATTGGTCCGCGGAACGGTCCAAACACGATTTCTCCTGCAAACCAAAGATAAACGTGGGTCAGGTTTGCGGGAGTCCGGACCGATCCCAAGCCCGCTTTCTGACTGCCTTGGCCCACCAAAAACCACTCCACCCTCCCGCGCGCGCTCCCTGCCGGCACCAGCTGCCCACATTCATGCCGCTGTAGAGCGCGCCACTCAACATTGAAGACGGCTCAGGGTGGATGCGACCTCTCACTGCCTCCGCCATCGAAGCGGCACGTCGACCGAGGGCACCGCCAGTGACACGTCTCCGGTGTCCGCACCTGTTCAATGTCGGAGACGCGTGACTGGACGGGACGAGACGGATATCTACCGCGCCCGTTCAATGTCGTTTTTCATCCATCTGCCGCCATTAAGCAAGCTCACCGGCCGAGAAATCCACTCTGGCACCGCACATTGACGCACCCGGAGGTTTGGCCCCACTGGAATCCGCTATATAAAATTGGCCACACCCGGCTAACTCCACACCACAACTAGGGTGGATTAACGAGCTGCTCGACTCATTAAGCTCGTGCTCGTTAAGACTCAGATCGTTAAGATTAACGAGCAAAAAACCTTGCTCGGCTCGATTCATTTGAAGCTCGTTAAGCTCGTGCGCGTTCGTTAACAGATTCTGATGTGTTTACGGTCTACAAGATGAGTGTTTAGATGTGGTTTTTAAGAAGAAAGATGGTGCCTACAAAGGAGAATGCACTAGTTTGTTGTCTCCTATGTAGATTAGACTGAATAGATGGGATGAGGTGCTACCAAAATTTTATCACGTAAGATGAAAATATGTGTTGTGTTGTTTGTAACGAGCTACTCGTGAAACTCGTTAGCTCGTTCATTAACCTCGTTAAGCTTAACGAGCTGAAATCGATGATTGGCTCTGTTCATTAAGAAGCGAGCCACGAGCTTACCGAGCCGGATTATCAAGTGCCCATTAAGCTCACGAGCTACAAACTTTTGGTCTAGCCCTGACCAGAACACCAGCCCCTCCACATCCTCCTCCCTTGCACCGCATCTGTCATGACCGCCAGCAGGAAAGCACCATTGGACAGTCTGCCGCCAGAGATGAAGCACGCGGTGGCCGCCCTTGCCGCCGCCTGGCATAGCCGTTGTGCCATGCAAATCGAGGCCGGCTTGACGGCCAGCTTGCCCGAGGTCTCCGGCGACGAGGACGACACCACGATGGAGACGGGCTCCGACGACTCCGCCCTGGCGCCCTCGCCTTTTGTGCACACCGGCTTCCCATGGAGCAGTCACAGGCGCAGTTCAACGCCGCCATGATGGAGGTGCAGCCTACGGCGGCGTCTTTGTCCGTGTTCAAGCAGGCGCAGGAGGAACAGCGGTACAACTTGTTCCTCCTGGAGCAACACCGGCTGGTGGCGGGCCAGATCTATGGCGAGCGTGCGAGCGAGGAGGCCGTGGCAGCCATGACCGCGGCGAACTAAAATTCCGTCGGGGAGCAGCATGCCATCTACCATGTTGTCCGAGCTCAAGCCGCCGCTTGGCAGGAAGCGGCAGCAGCAGAGGCGTAGTTGCAGGTGATCGTGGAGGAGAACATAGCTAGCTGCGCCTCCTACGCGCCGCCGACGAACCATCAGACGGCCCGGTGGGATGACGACAGCAAAGGCGCCACCATTTCCCTCGTGGACCTCACGTCCATCGGTGATGGACCACAAGAGGCAGCGGGGCCTGGTATACCATGTGGGCCGATCCGTCTCCCGTGTTCTACTCTTCCTCACCGGAGACCGCACCTTCACTTCGTTGGTCTTATGCATGACAATAAATGTTATGCTACTATGTGTCATGCATGACAATAAATAAGATGATATATGATACTATCTTGATCATAATTTACGATACTATGCATTATGGAGATAGTATCATATGCATGATACTAATACATGATACTCCCCACTATGAATAACCTAATGCCACAGCCCCACGGCTGCTACCATCCCCTCCGTTGACACAAATTGGTCAATGCTACAGATTTAAGGGGCGGCGCTAGGTCAAATGAGTGTGCTTGCATGAAACAGGCCACGCTTTCATGAAAGTCTTCACTAGGAAATACATAAATAAAAATACGAGAAAAATATCTCGAAACGAAAGGTTTTCTTTTGGGTGCGACATGAAGGTAAGGCCCGGCAGTAGCTACGTAGTGTGGTTTCAAATTTAGGCCCCACCGCGAATCAACCTGTGGTTGAGATGGTTAGGTGGACAGTGGTATCCCCAGCTCATCAGGGTTCAAATCCTGGTGCTCGCATTTTTCCTGGATTTATTTCAGAATTTCTAGCGATACGCTTTCAGTGGGTGGAGACGTTCCCGTCGACTACAAGGCGCATATGGTGACTTCGTAAAATCTCAAGATGATATGCCGGCTCAACCTCTCAGAGGTGCTCATAGGGGTAGGATGTGCGTGTGTGCGTTCATAGGGGTAGTGGCGAAGGCAGAAATTTTGTGAAGCCTGGGCGAACTTGCTCGTAAATGTCTGATTTTGAAATCGCCTAAATAACTGACGTTTGAATACACATGATATAACATAGCGCCAAACTTCTGAATGACTAATCGACATTAATAATGAAGTAAAATACAAGTATAATTTTGAAGTGAAATAAAATATCAACATCCATTTTTGTAGACGTAAATAACGTTGTGACTTGACAACAGAAGTCACAGAACTAGGCCATGCATAGAACCAAACTCATATTGCTAGAGATATCGTCCAAACAACATAGAAGACAATATAATGTAAAACATGGGTTTGTAATTCACATAAATTAAGTGGTGTGATTGGTGAATATATTCAAAATAGAGAGCTTGCAAGAATATAGATTATCAGTCGAAACATATTAATAGTGTGCTAAAGAAAATCACAAGGCAAATGCCCTTTCCCTTTTTGATTGCAGTAAAAATTTCAAATAACATCCTTATCGTCAACTATCTAAAAAAAGATTCTAAATCAAACAGTAGGATCAGGAAGTCGTGATCGTTCTCAATGGATAATTTCCCGTACACTGTCCTCAAAATTAAAGCCCTAAGTGTCTATGAACCGGATGGCCAGATTTGTTTGCAATTTTTACCTAATCACAAAGAAGAAGACAAGTAGTCTAGGAGCCAGTCGCTTCCCCGCCGCCGCCGGCACGCCCAGCCTCGCTTCTTGCCGCTAGTCTGTCTCAGCGTCCGCGATGGCGGTTGGGCGTCCGCTCCACTCCCAACCGGGTGCGGCAAAGACGAACAACCGAACAGGCAGGTGGAGGCGTGGAGCGCTCGTTGTCGAGTAAACCACATTCGTTTCTCTCGCTCGGCTCTTCCTATTTCCTAGGTCCAGGTGCTTACACGAAGCCCAACACTGAACGTAGCCCAACACAGTTTTGCCCGGGAAACCATAACCGTCGGTGTGGATTTTGCCAGCTGTGACAGGACGTCCTACGGCGTCGCGCATGCAGCGAGCCCGGGCAAGTGCCCAGAGTCGCCGGGAGCTCCCTCCGCCCTAGGGTGAGTGTATGCGCGTTTATATGAACGTTTGCGTGTTCTCAAAAAAAAATGAGTGTTTGCGTCTGTAA